CATTTGGCATTCATCACAATTTGCAATGCTGTTATTTACTTTACTGTGAAAATCACCAGCCCCAAGAAAACACGCAGGAAGAAGAGAAGGGAACTGTGGAAGATGGGAGAGGAAAAAGAGGGGAGATGTTGAAAGAATTTATACAGGATTAATCAAGAAGCACTGTACAGTTTATACCGTACAGATGCACGTTCAGTTTAATTGGAGGTGTGATCTTCCTAACCTCAGCCTATGCAGGAATTTGAGGGGAAGGATGTTTCCTCCCCTCTCCAAGCTCACCCTTATCCAGAGGTGGGCAGTAGCATGCTACATGTAGCGGCCGCTACATTTTCAGTAGCGGTAGTGGTAGCGGCTCTATATTTAAGGCAATGTAGCGGTAGCGCCCGCTACATATTTAAGTAGCGATACGAGGTTTTGCCACTACAGCGCTGCTGCTACATTTATAGATAAAGCCTTTAGATTTTACTTGAGGGGACCGGCTACCCTCCAACAAAACTTTTTTGTTTACAGACGGATTGTTTTGAAACTTGGTACACATATGTAAAACAGAAATCTTAGACCTTTTTCTTCATGTAAATTTAAAAAAATGAAAGAAAACGTGGAATTAATAGAAAACGGCAAATAAGGTGTACTCTAAAAAAGTTTATAACTTTTGCAAATCACATGCTACAATGTCGAGACACATATAATTTGATTTGTAACAATATCTAGCGACTGTAGAACCCTGATTTTTTATTTTCCTCATCGTTTTTTTTGGGTTCTTCCCATTTTTTCATATTTTTCCCCCCACCCTCCTCCCCCTCCCATATATAAGTCAAACCATGCGCATATTAAAAAAAAAGCTTCTAGAGTCGCTAGGTATTGTTTTTACAAATCGAATGGTATGTCTCTCATTGCCATAGCTTGGAAACTGTTGGAGTTTTGGTTTTTTTAAGATGTCGGTTTTTGCATTTTTAAATTGTTCAGGGGAGCCAAATAAAGTAAAATTCATTGAAAACAGAAGAATATGCTCAAAATATGCCCAAAAAGTTTTGATATTATAGCCCAAGCTTTCCCATTGCCAATTATTTGCATTCAAGGTACCAGCACGCGTCTTTAGACCTATTTATGTTCAATTTAACGTGAATAATAGGCTATAAATGGGACTTTTTATATATAAATATATATATAAATATTCATTTTACATAACTTTACAACTGCATTACATACGCAAAAACTATTGCATGAACATCCATGGTAGTAGCTTTGGTAAATGCGTCTTGTTTGTAGCTTTCAAACGAATGCAAACACTTTGCAATTAACCAAAATAATGACATATAAATACCATTTATTTGTAAATAATGATATAAAATGATCATTTTATAAAAGTTTGATCATAAAGCAGTACGGTCACTATTACACAAAATAATATTGCATGTACATCTATGGTAGTAGCTTTGTTGAACGCATCTCGTTTGTAGCTTTCAAACAAGTGCAAACACTTTGTAATTAACAAGAGTAATGATCTATATTTACAGACTTAATTCAAATAAATCTTTGTACATATTGTTAAAAAATGTTCATATATATTTTTTTAAAATTGTCTTTAGCAAAAATTATAGCACGCACAGACATACGGTAAACTGTGTTAGATGCGCCTTTTCAGCAGCTACAAAATGAGTCAAGAAAACGGTAAAGCCAAAATTTCTGATTTTTAGGGTAGCCGGTCCCCTTAATAGTATTAAATATTATTTAAAAACCAGCATGATACATACATAATATAAATTACAGAATAAAACTGTACGAAAGATTTCGGTGTAATGTTGTCAACCTCAGCCTGTTACTAGTGTCAATGTGTTAGTTGTTTCTTGTTAAGTTGTTACCTGTGACCATTTACAGGTTTTTTCATCTTTCAGTTTGCTTACAGTTATTTTTACACAGTTATTTTTATGTTTCACCTTCCCTACATGGATGTCTACTTTGATCTACCAATCTCAAAAATAATCCACATATATATACAAAAAAAAGACTGATTTTTATATATATATATGTGGATAATTGTTTAGATTGGTAGATTAAAGTTCACATCCATGTAGGGAAGGTAAAACAAAAATAACTAACTTTTATTTACTGTATCTAACCTCAAACCCTGGGGTAACCCATACTAGTTTGGTTAGGTTAATTGCAATAAAGTTGCATTGATATGTTTTACAAATGTTTTCTTATCATTAAATGTTAATGAGTAAATCCCAATAGCAGAACTATAAATATTTAGAGATTTAAAATAATTTTGGCCATTGTAGCACGCTACATTCTACTGTAGTGGTAGCGGCAGCGATCATTACAATCTAGTGGGTGTAGCTGTAGCGCCCGCTACATTTAGAGCATGTAGCGGTAGCAGTAGCGCTGCTACATTCCCAAGTAGTGCTGCCCAGCTCAGCCCTTATCCCATCCCCTACCCACCCCAATTGTATCATTCTGTGTTTTGAAACTCACAGGTGATGACAGCATAAAAGCTTGTAATAGTATAGCTTTGTCTCTCACCTATCTGCTTTGAGTGCCATTCATAAAAATAGATCGTGAAACGATGGCTGCACGAAACTTTGAGTCATTCATACCACTATGGCACTACCACTCCGATAAAACAACATAAAAAATCTGCAATCATAATCAATAGCAGTATGGTCATGGTCATCAACAGTAGCGGTACGGTCACGGTAATTGTCACTGTTAGTAGCTATTGTCATAGTTGTCAGTAGCAATACAGTCACAGACATCATCAGTAGCGGTATGGTCACGGTCATCATCAATAGCGGTACGGTCATGGTCACCATCAGTAGCGGTATGGTCATGTCATCGTCAGTAACAATATGGTCATGGTCATCAGAAGCAATACGGTTATGGTCGTCATCAGTAGCGGTATGGTCACAGTCATCAGCAGTAGCGGTACAGTCACAGTCATCAGCAGTAGTGGTACGGTCATAGTCATCATCACTAGCAGTATGGTCACGAACATCATTAGGCAATTTACGACAAACGAGTTCTGATGAGGCATCATCGTAAGTGAAGGCAGAGCCATGATTCTGAAAAACGGTCATTTTAAAATCAATGGTTTGACATTGAACATCTTTATCAATGTTGAGAATTGAGATAATGGCTATAAAGACAGAGCTACTGAGACAGGCAACCGTGGGGACGCCTGGCGACTGCTGTATTATGGTATCTGTCAACAATACGGCCGCTAAGCTTTCACACAAGGAACAGTCATTTAGGACAGTCTTACTACTCTACAGAAATGAGCATCGGCAGATAAAATTTCTGGTAAATAAGAAATCCGAGTGATTTATACTGATGGATTTCCAACTTTGATTGTATTACCCTTTTCCTGTGCTAGAGATTTTGTTTTACTAGAGATTGAAAATTTGCAAATCAACATAAACGCTCCATTGATTGCAATGTTGTTTGAATTGTGTTGTTTATGCATTCGTTTGCTTCATATTTTGAAATGCAATTAAGATTATTTCTCCGTAATCATCATAACGCATGACATTTATTTACGACCAGCTTAACAATATTTACATATTATTGACTATGCATGCAAACATGTATTGTCAGTCTTGGCCTTTTAAAAGCCACACCAGCACCAGACAAGCGCTTTGAAAGCTGAATGGACTGCAGAGTGTGGGTGGGAGAGGGATGTTTACTGCGGGCCCACAGAAGATTTATTAGTACCATAGGACAGACCTCCCATACCTCTGAAGTACAACAATGGAGGGTAACTCTTGATTAAATCTATGGAAAATTCACGGACCTGTTGTTAAAAACTAATTTAACTACCAACAGAAAAATGATTCAGAAATGCTTGGTATAGCAATCAATGAAGAATAAAGAGTTAAACCAACTGGTATTGTGAAAATGTTAGAAAGGTTGCACGTTTTACAATCCTCATGGTTCAAAATTTTCATTAGCAATAACAGTGGTAATACAAAGTTTACATAGTTTATCTTAATATCCACAACTTGAAAATAATTAGCCAGGATAGCATTTCAAATTTCAGAATTGTATCATTTATGAGGGGAGTTATTGGTCAAATTCATTGTTAAAAATCTCCATAGATGACTACCGGGCTGGGCGCGTTGATGCAGTCTCTTAAAACTACTTGCTTATCTAAAAGCTTGAGTTTTCTAGATTAATGTTACAATTCACTCATTATATCGATCTTGATTGACAATCAATACGTAGCGATCTTTTTGGTAAATGTTTTTTTTCATGGAATTTACTACTACTGGTAAATGTTAAATTTGAGAAAAAACTTCCCATCAGTGGGAAATAATTCAATGCAACAATGGTCCTGCTGTCTGGCCCACTCGCTGACTTCTGGTGTTGAACTGTTTTAACAACCAACCAATATATGGTGGTGCCAGCCTCAGCCAGGTGGACAATACTTTGTTCTCATAGACAACTTGAAGAGTTTTTAATAAAGTACATGATTTGACAGTTTGACTATGGCTTTATAGCCTTGATTTGTTATAGAGAATTTATTTACAAATATGCCACTTTCTGAAACTATTGATATTTGTCTCAATTTATTGTTCAAAGAGGTTAATGACCTTGTCAAGGGTTTGAACCATATATGTTAAAAATCTCTTATTGAATTGTCAGTTTAAACATTCTTTGTATATGCCATCAACATCAAGTTTTACAAACCAATTGGTGGTTAGGACATGGGTCTCCCACTCAATCCTACTTTTGCACACATTTTCATATGTTTTCATGAGGCTACATAGTGTCAATTGTCCTTTCAAATTTATTTTCTGGCAATCAGTGAGTCAAGCAGCATTGCTCTGCCTCTAGATGTAGAAATTGTAAATTCATTGAATAGAAGGAGGATATGATTGATTGCTTACTCATTGGCTGCACTATATGGGGTTTAGTGTGTCTTAATTTGTGAAATATTTTTATTCTAAAATAAATTGTATTACTGCAAATTGTTTCTCAATTGTTGATGAATTTTTTTTTTCAGATTATCTACAGAAAGTGTTCTATCTTTTTTTATTTTTCTTGCACACCATGACTTGGAAGCAGAATCCTCTACCCGACAGTAAGTGTTTAAGATCTTATAGGTTTTCACAGTAATTTCCCAAGTTCAAACTTAAATATGGTAGCATTTTTCAATCACTCCCCTGTGCCAACAATTAAACCTGTGATTTATGTCACTTATTTACCATATTTCAAATTTTTGTATTTTATGAATTCTTTTTGTTTCATTATGAAATTTTTTAAAATAATGCCTTTTCCCTTACTCTCCCTTGCTTATGTAAATTTTGTATGGAAGTCTGTTGATAATTTTTTAAAGGATTTAAACTCTGTAACTGAGAATTTTTTTAATTTCAGAGCAACACAAGGCTGCATAAATTTATTATTTGTGATAATTTATTTGAAACAATAAATTAATAAATAGCAAATAAACAATGAGTAGTGCCATTATGCTAGCATATTTTGTCCCTCTGATATTATGGGTTATTCTCCAGGATGCTCTGTAATATTTGAACATGTGAGGATAAATAAAACAATTATTTTTCTATTTGGTATGCATATTTCCTGCATTAATGAAAATTATCAATATTGTAGTCATTAATTATGAATTAATTGGATTCAAGACATTATATATGTAGTATTTATTGTCAAAAAATAAGTATATATGTATGGTAATTTCTATCAGTGGTAATTTTGGGTGTTTTTGAATTTTTATTCAAAAGCAGAAATATGTCAATAAAATATTTTACTCTTTTCATGTACCTTGAAATATATGAAAACACCAATGACTTTCTCACCCAACACCACAAAAATATACGTAATACCATACAGGAATTAAATATTTCTGCTAAACTTGCTAAGTAGGCCATGCATGAAAGCATATAGTTAACACTGTATTCAAATGAAAATTTTGTGTTACCTATGAGGGTTTTACATTTTTTCTAATTATTTACTTGATAGAATTCTTTATTTCTATTTAGATTGCTAATTCTTTAAAGGTGAAACATGATAATTTAACACAACATAATGCATGAAAAACCTTTTCAGTTGAAGGTTCTGTTATATTTTAGCCTAATTCAAATTCTCATTCTATCCACAGAACCAGAAATTCCAGTGCGATTACCCCGAGAAGCAGGTGGTGTGGGCACACTTGGCAGGCCTGTAAATTTAAAATCAAATTATTTTCAAGTGGAATTTGAGTCAAGGGAAACCAAGCTATTTCATTATGATATCAAAATAAATGATGCTGTCAAAGATGAAGATGAAAAAGTGGCAACAGCTGCTCCTCTGCCAGTTGGACTTTCCAAACCTGCAGCTGCTGAAGAAAGTGGTGGCAAAGGTAAAAGGCGCAAAAAAGGGCGTGGCAAAGGCCAAAAAGACAGTGAAGCAACCGAGACTACTAAAGAGGAAGCAATTGCTGGAGTCGCTGCGGTTGGGGGGTCACCAGACCGGGAGAAAATGACGGAGCGACGGATCCCCAAAGCCAAGCGTTGCAGGATCTTTGCCAATTTTATTGAAAAAAATCCTGGGGTAATTATACTCTTCAAAAAATGTTATCAATAATAATATATGTGTTGGCTACTTATTATGTTTTGGTTAATCACAAAAAGTTGAATACTCATTTATTGTCAATTCATGATTATTACCTATTGAATTTGGTTTTGGTAAAGAATTATTTTTTTGAATTAAGCCAAACTTATGTGTTAGATAATGCCTAAAATCCCAATTATTTTGTCAGATATTCAGCAACTACAGAATGGCCTATGATGGCGAGGCCAATGCATATTGCTCAAAGAATCCCAGCCAATTTGTTCTGAATCAGCCAGTCAAGTTTTTCTTTGTCTTTGATGATGAAATAGACAATAGGAAAAAGAAGTACTTGGTGAGTTAACATTACAAACCTGAAATTTCATTAGCTTAGATGTTAATAAATTGATAGCTTATTGGTTAATTGTTAGAACAAATTGATTAATTGTTCTGATTAACAAATGGTTAATTGTTAACCATTGCCATTAATCTGTTTTCTATTTCTAGTGTGAATAATGGTACGGTTATTTTATTATTTGTGACTTACGGTATTTGTAAGATTTAAATTTCTAATTGTAAGGTATATTTCAATCTCCATTTCATGTCATTGATTTATAAAATGTTAATAACACAAGGAGAGCTAATAACTATGTTGCTCTGCTGAGGAATAATTTATATATTTTTAGATCGAGTGGAAGCTTGTTCAGAGCGCAAAGATATCAGAATTGCTGGAGCATCTGCCAAGACTCAAGGCCTTGCCACCCAGGAGCGCCACCATCTTCCAGATGCTGGAAGTGATGTTCAACTATGAACGATCCCTCAAGTGAATATTAAATGGCTTTTGATGACAACTGTCTGTGTTGTTAAGTAGTACCTATCACATGAATTTACATTGACAGTCTTTATCATATATTTATATGATGAAATGTGTACATTGGGAGTTTCTTGACTTACCTCATTTATTTCAATACTATAAAAATTATTGCCAAATTTTAAATTTAATCAAAATTTATTTTTCAAATTTAATCAATTTATTAGTTGGAAAAGTTTCAAAAGTTTGTATGTAATTAGGTATTCTGGTAAAATTTCAGATTTGCAACAGTTGGGCGCAACCAGTTCTATTCCCAAGATAACCCTCAGTTTGGCGAAAACTACAGAATCAGCGACGATAAGGAGGGCGTGATAGGATTTTACTGTTCACTGAGGGCGCGGTGTGGGTGGAAAGACACAGGTTGTCTTATGCTCAATCTTGATGGTGAGTGTTGACCTATTATTGTTATGACCTTAACTCACGGCTATCCAACTTATTCATATTGTTTTCAAATTTAGTGTTACAATTTGTGATGCAATTTTAGTTTTTGAAAATGTGTTTTCCTTTCCCTATTAATACTGAGTCATTTTAAGTTTATTTTAGTCTTTGCCAGAAGAAATTATCGTCGAGAGTTGAATGATCTTAATTCATAATTATTGCATTATCATATCTCCTCTCATCCTTTCTTGTCTCCTTCTAAATTAATACACATGCATTTACACCCAGAGGCCCTTCCCTCAAGTTTCATGGGTTAAAACTACATTTTTGTTCGAACACATGGTATATTCTGCCTGACGTTAAAACCATAACCATAAAACCTCCCATGTCTTTAATCATCATCTTTTGGTATTTGAAGCGATTTTATTTGGTGTATGTAGAGTCTGGAGTTGTGTTGTTAGCTTTCTCTTGGGTTTGTGCCTCTCTATGCATCACCAATAACATTTGATCCAACTTAATTATAATTATAATTATTAATATATGCATTAATATTTGATTAATGGTGTAGATTACGGCTAGTGTGAATCCCTAACGTGTATATTCTGAACTTTCAGTTTCCCACACGGCCTTCTACACAGTTCAACCCCTTTTGACTTTCTTGCAAAATACGTCAATTATCGACGATGACATCCCAAGAACTCTTGACCGGCGTGCCATTGATGCCATTGAAAAGGAGATTGTGAAGAAAGATGTGCGGGTCAGTATTGTCTTGAATATCCCTACCCTTTTAGGGGGACTTCTGACGGGTGTCTGTGCTCGTCAGAAGTCCTTTGGCATTTCGCGCTCCTAAGGGGATTGTTCCTGAGCGCCCCACCGCTGAGCTCGCGGTGTCTGACTGCAGGTCTCAGTTGTGGGGTTGAGTTATTATGTACATAGGATTCCTTACATTAAGTTATTAGGTATGTATATATGTAGGTACCTATGATACCTTACAATAAGTTATTATGTAGGTAGGATTCCCTACATTTCCCTTTTCTCTCTCTCGTGCGGGCGGCCGACGTCCCGTGTAAGCGACCCCTTGTTCGAGTGTCTTTGTTTCTGTTGCTTTTCACCTGTCCCTCCTTGTCACCTGTCCCTTCTTGTAACTCCGTCTCCTTGAGATGCTAACGCTGCTTCTTTCGCGACAGCTTCATCGGGCTTGACAATTGAGACCTTCCGCCCCTTGTGGGTGATGAATGATTTTTTGATTTAAGAAACTTCCGAAAACTGAGGCCTTCCACCTCGTTGGTGATGTTCATCTCGACTTTCGGTGCGAGATAGCTAAATAGCTGAAGCGCTAGTAAACATTTGTCCACTAAACTAGCTAACTTGAATATCCCTAAGAAATTAGTACAATCCGTCTTTTCCCAAATTTTCGAGCAGGCTGCTACAGTATTGGTCGGATTTTTTTAAAAAGTTTTACGAGTTTTCATGAAGTCATTATTATTTGTCCTATCACATAATTTATCTAAGTTTTACTTATGTACAGTACAGTTTTAGACGTTATCAGTATTTCAGAACGACCTCGTGGAATAACCATAATACCTCGTCCATAACCTTTTTTACAATAGGAAACATTTTTTTAACTCCCCTAATATATTCAGCAAGGAGTGAATTGGTGACTGCCAAGACTAACCTCAAACATATACGTCAACGTCGAATGTTATTAATTTTAAAACGGCCTCTATCGTACAAACTCCTCAAAGTCCTGTTAGTAATAGTTTCATGCAATTGCAATCTCTCTGCTGAGCTTTCCACTATAAATACTTCACATACGTATACGGTATTTTTAGAATTGAACTTTCACAGATCGTGACAATTCACGGCAACTACGAGCGCCGCTACAAAGTGACGGGCGTGAGTAAGAAGAACTGCTTGACGCACACCTTCACGGTGGAGAAGGAAGGCGTCAGCCGGCAAGTGAACATCGTCCAGTACTTTCAAGAGCGATACGACTTCATGATACAATATCCAGAGTTGAATTGCATCAAAGTCGGAACCAAAGAGACTTTACTTCCAATTGAGGTAAAGCTATGGCTGGGGTATTTTTACATTTATCTTATATACCTTTTAAGATACAGTTAATTGTGTTTCAAATAAAGAAGTCAAACGCAAAAAGAGAGCGCATGGATGATTACATGGTCGGACAGCGGTTTGAAAAGTTAACTTTTATTGACACTTTAATGTATTGTGTGAAATTTAAACCTTGTCAAACATACTGACTTGGCAGCTCACTCCCCAGCTGAGAATATTGCCAACGCAGTAACTTCCAATAATTTTTTCATGAGAACTGATGATTTTGTTGCATAATTACAAATCATTATTTTTCTGTTCTGTATCAGCCTTGGCTGTTTTGTATTGGATTTGTTTTTTTTTGGCAGGTGTGCAAAATTGCGCCCAACCAACGAATTAAGGGGAAGCTGAAGGACGATGAGACAAAAAACTTCATAAAGCAGACGGCAGTGAAGCCCCAATTGCGTTTCCAGCAAGTGAACAATATTGTGACAGCCAACAACTTCCCTCAGGATAGGATGCTGGAGAGTCTCGGTGTCCGCATAAAGGCCAACGTGAGTAACGTTCATATTCTCTTGTGATAACTATTGGTGTGTCTTCCTGTACACTTTCAGTTGTTTGTCCTGTACACTTTCAGTTGTTTATCCTTTAATTAGTCAAGTATTCGGTATTGATTGATTATGTGTTCTAATTGAGATGTTTTTCGACCAATTTTCTGTCAATGATTTTAGTCCACAGAACAATAACTGTCTCAGTCTTGAAGTATTATTCAAACTGAATTAGGTATGTTCCTGAACGTTTGCGCATTTGTTCCACGGGGAAGACTTAGTTTTTCCTAAGAATGCTCCGGTCACTTATGGTTTTTTTTTTATCTGTAGAAGAGCAGTCGCCTCGATGTCTCAGATGCTGTTAACAACTATTTGCTATAATTTCTCATTTGTTTGTTAATAATTAATATTCTTGTTCAGTATCCTTGTAATAATCTGTGCTCTTTTAAAGAGCTAGTAATGAAAAAATTCCCACAGTCGATAGAGAATTCGAATTTCCAGGCGTGTTGTATATGCAAATTTCAGAGCTATGCAATTTCTCCTTGATATCTTTAATGAGATAGAGGACGGTTTATCGTGGTTTTGCTGAGAGTTTAAATATACTTTTAACGTACGTAATGAATTGTGTTAACGAGATCACGCCGCAAATAACAATTTGTGTTGTAATTCTGGTTATTCATTCGTCTTGAAAAAGCAATTCGCAGTATCTGTGTGCACAGCCTGTGGACTTGAAAAGTTAATAATGGCATTGTCGTTGTGTTTCAAGTAAAATATTTCATGGGCAGCCTGTGGACTTCAAAGGCCGTGTCTTGGATCCCCCCGTCGTGGAGCTGATGAACGGCTTTAAGCCCCGCGTGGAGCGCGGCCAGTGGAGGGCAGACCGGGACCGCTTCTTGCAGCCCGCCGCCCTCGATCATTGGGCTGTCCTCAACTTCAGCCGCGCCAAAAACCTTGAGTGAGAATCTCGGCGTAAAATCTTTAAAGACAAATTTTCTTGCTAGTGCAATACACTACACTACTGAGATTTATTCATTGAAAAAATCTGACAGGCGACATATATGTCGACTTGGTCATAGCGCATCTTGAAATGAAATTCTATATATTTATCAAAGGGGACGAATGAGCATCATACATAAATAAAACATCATTTTGTAATTCAACATTTGTGTACAGCTGGACGCTAAAGGGTTAACTTTCTCTAAGTACATAATTACTTAAGGGTTTTCTCTTGAAAAATTGCGTGCCTACTCAGAACAATTGAGTGCCCACTTGTTCTTCTCTTAGCAGCAAAAAAGTGATGTATTGAAATGTTAAATGCTCTCAGATTTTATGTGAAATGCTCTCAGCGTTTATTCGTGCGTTTTGTACGATGCAGTGACTTCATTTACGAGCTGATGATGAGTGCGCGTCAACGAGGCATGGATGTCTATGAACCCTACCACGTGAGCCAGCCGCTGCGGCCTGAGGAGGCTGAAAGGAGGCTCATTGAAGCGCATTCCAAGAACAAGGATGTTAGAATTATCGTCTGCGTCATCGAGAAAGAAGGAAATCAGTACAGTAAGAGAGAGGCAGTGTTGTACACAATTTTATTATTTGTAGGCACACTGATGAAGTAGTTATAAATTGCTAAATTGAAATTATTTGTATAAATTTGTTACTCTTGATCTCTCATGAATCTTGCCTAATATACAGTTTCGGTACCTATTCATACTTTGAAGCTCAACCGATGTGTCTATTTGTTCCCCTTAGTTATGAAATCTTGTTCAGAATCATGGAATCTAAATTCAACCATATGCTTTAAAAATATGCCCTTGTAATGTATTCTGCTTTTCACAGAGAAGCGAACATCTCGGATAGATTATTGTTGATAACCTTGTCTAAATTCGGTTCTATTTACAGTATATATCTAGTAAATGTAACTTTTCATGGGATATTATACATATCTATGTATCTTAATCATTGTTGACATGAATTTTATTCGAGCAGAGATCATCAAGGAGACCGGTGATCGAGTGTTGCGGGTGATCACTCAGTGCGTTCTGTCTAAAAACGCCTGCCGCCCCAACCCAGCCACTATTGGCAACATCCTGCTCAAGATGAACGCCAAGCTCGGAGGAGTCAATCATAAATCTTTCTATACTGCACCGCCGTATCGTCAGGTGAGACTTCAGCTGAGCGATGCTATTTCTATTTCATTAAATACTTATTATCCCAACATTTAATTCGTATCTATGGTGAAAATGGCCATTTCTGCGCCTGTTGGATTTGCCTTCTGATGACGCTTTTGTGATCTGGCTTTCTAGATAATTGAAAGAAAGTTTTACTCTGAAGTTTATTTTACCTCGCATTTGTTAAAAGCGCTAAACAAATAAAGAAGCGACCTATTTTCGAGTTGTTGGCAACTCTCATTGCTGTTGTTGTTGGCATTGCATTGCTCCATAGAACTCTCATTGCTTTTGCAGACAATAATGGCGGTCAGCTGAAATATATCATGTTTCATAACTAAATATTTTAATTTAATTGCGAGGATTAGATCAAGTTGGATTATCTCGACTGATTCATGTCACAGTTTTCTTGTTACTCAATTTATGATGAGCTGCATTGCAAATCTGCTTTACATTACTTGATTGTTACAGCTGTTCGCCGAGCCCATCCTCGTGATGGGCGCGGACGTGAACCACCCGCCATCGCAAGACCGGTCAACGCCGTCGCTGGTGGCGGTTGTGGGGTCGCTTGACCCTAACGCTTGTCGCTACGCCGTCGAGGTGCGCCACCAGGCCCACAGGGTCGAGATGATTGAGGAGATGAAGCTCATAACAATGTGAGCTTCTATGTTATACTTAGTCAAGATGAACTAATTTGAGACAGTCGCATAGTCTGTAGTGCAGTCGTCTTTGCCTGACTTATCACCATGTGAGTTACTATGTCATACCTAGTCAAGATGAACTAATTTGAGACAGTCCCATAGTCTGTAGTGCAGTCATCTTTGCCTGACTTATCACCATGTTAGCTTCTATGTTATACTTAGTGAAGGTGAACTAATTTAAGACAGTCGCATAGCCTGTAGTTCAGTCATCTTTGCCTGACTTATCACCATGTAAGCTTCTATGTTATACTTAGTGAAGGTGAACTAATTTAAGACAGTCGCATAGCCTGTAGTTCAGTCATCTTTGCCTGACTCTAATCATCATGTAAGTTCTCTTCCATGAAGTGCAGTCATTTTTGCTGAACTGGACCCAATAAAACTAAGGTTTCTGGTTTAACGTGACAGTTTCTTAACCGACAGTTTTGTGTCTGAAGAATTTCGGACTGAAATGCATGATACAAAGGTTAATGAATTAGTCAGTTATACCGTATTACTGGGCGAAAATTCTGTGGATTACTAAGTCGCCTGATTTGGGGTCTATCACAGAGTATTATGAGGAAAATTATTGCTAGTTAGTGATTCTTCTTTCGTTATTTTTAGCCAGCTTCAATTCGTTGAAGCTGGAATTCGCAAGTCACTTTTTTAATCTAAGTTGTTTATTATTTTTTTTAATTGTAAGTTTTTTGGCATTCGTGGTCATTTTAATAACATATTCGTAATTAATTGCGCTAAATTTAAAATAATCCCCTATTAGTCAAAAAATTTGCTTTGTACTCACTGCAGTGAGTGACAGAGAGCGCATTTACGCGAGCACTCTCAGCCCCCGAAGTCACGGACGGACGGACGGACATGACGAGCACAACAGCGCCTTTTTTCCATAAATAAGAAAATGCTCTAAAAGTTATTCTGCTGAATAAATACAACTAAGTTATTTGTGCATAGATGCAAATATAATGAATAGAAGGAAATTAACTAGTACACCCATGAAACGCATTCCTGCCACATTTACCTTTAATTATGATTTATTAGGAAAACGTGGATGGTCTACACTGTCAGCTTCATGAAAATTATTTGCCTTGTAATCTCTTAAGGTTCTTCATTGCTGCTCAATTTCTTTCCATGGGCAGTCATTTCTAATGAGCATAAGCCAAATGGAAGTTTACAAGTATTAGATTTATTTCACTCTAACTCATATCCTCTGATTTAATTCTTTGTAGACGAGAGAAATGCCACCCTTTTATTTATCGCCTTGCTGATTGCTTAACTAAGCAATCTCTTTACATTTCTCCAATCAGGAACCTGTTGAAGCAGTTCTACGCACAGACCAAAAGGAAGCCTACCCGCATAGTGATGTACCGAGATGGTGTGAGTGAGACGCAGTTCAACGCTGTCGTTGCCTACGAACTGCGCGCCATGCGACAGGCGTGTCTTGAGCTGCAGCCTGACGGCGAATACAAACCAACCATGACCTTCATCTGCGTGCAGAAGCGTCACCATACACGGTACTGCAATCTCTACTTACACAGATACATAAACTTTCATCGAACTTTAACTTATAGTTTTTGGTATCATTACGGAAGGAAAAGTGTATGTACTCGTATAACCACTCAATATATTATCTTCACTGCATGATAACTACTTCAGCATTCACCTGCATATTGTTTTAGGTAATAAATCTCTTATGTCATGGAGAGTGAACCAGTGTTAAATATTCGTTGTTGACGTATTTTCCTCAGATTATATGCGGCGGATTCAAGGGACACCGATAGGTCTGGCAACGTGCTGGCCGGCACCGTCGTGGACCACACCATTACCAGCCTATCCAACCGGGACTTTTTCCTCTGCAGTCATGCAGGTTTGTCCAAACTCGTCAGAAATTCCTTTCGAGAAGTTGCAATGTTAATTTTTTTCTAAGACATCAATTAGTCTGTTGCTGGTCTCCAAATTTCTCTTATCTATCCCAGCGCTATTAGCAACAGAGATTTTTTTCAATTCCCCTTGAGAATTAGGTAGAAAAGATATTTCTTATTGCCCTGATGGCATTGCTAAATTGTCGGTTATTTCGAACTAAATTCGCTGATCAGTCCCTCAAAGGTGCGAATATTACTATTTGAGAGTCACGTCTTAATTAATATATGTATTACTGTTGCAGCCAAGATTTAGTTAATGGCGAGTTAATATTACAGGCATACAGGGGACGAGCAAGCCGTCCCATTACACGGTACTGTGGGACGACTGCGACATGCACATGAACCAGTTACAACTCCTGACGTACTCCCTATGCCACAACTACGCGCGCTGCTTCAGGAGTGTGTCCATACCAACACCCGTGTACTACGCGCATCTTGCCGCCGCTAGGTCAGCTGCCACGCAAATATTATTGAATCACATCAATTATTCATTTTGTGGGTATCGTTTGGTAATTACCTGCAGGGGTGTGTCTACCCACCCCCTGTAGACAGCGCATGTACCAGCAGCCAGATATTACTAAATTATTATGTAAACGTATCATAAATATTATATTACATATTATGTTATATAATAATTAACCTTCCTACTGAAAAGTTAACTTATTGTCACTGCAAACCTATCTCCTCCTAGAGTTTTGAAGCTACAGCAATGAGACATATACCATTCGATTCGCAATTGAATTATCTAGAGATTCGTCGTAGCTTTTTTCCAATTTCGTTATAGTTTTGAAAATATTTTGAAAAAGGGGGAAATGAAAAAATTTTCGAAAATTTTGCGAAAAATACTCCCCTATCCACAAAAATTCGAAAAAAGCTACAACGAATCGATAGATATGGTCCTTACGCATCGAATGATATGCGTCTCAATGTTGTAGCTTCGAAATCCTAGGAGGAGATAGTTTTCTACGGTACCCCCTTTTTCCGTTTTCTAAGAATTTCACGTTTTCTTTCTTTTTTTTTTTCGAAAAATTCACACGAACAAAAAAGTCTTAGAATTCTGTTTTACATATGAGTACAAAGTTTCAAAACGATCCGTCTGTAAACAAAAAAGTTTTTTCAGCACCCAGACGCTCCCCTTAATAAACACCTACTTTTTCTCGGGGTCTCCGCTGTTGATTAACGCACCAAATACGCTCGTATACTAGGCGCAAGAACGTGTGCTCAGTTACTTACATCATAATAGTATTTTATTTTCTCTTAGGTATCCAGCTGTTGATTGTCACATTTAATCAAACCTCTACTTTTGAAAACGTGAGCTGCTTATATTGACATGATAATCAAATTAAATCACATGTATGATAATTTTTGGTTAGAAGACGATATTATTCTGAAAAATGTGCTAATATAGTTTTCTTTGCTCCTTTGTTGTCGTTGAATGTTGGACTACTTATGATTTACCTGTTTGCAGAGCGAAGGTGCACTTGGCAGGAGCCCAATGCAAGGATCCTGGGAGATGGGGGCTGCTGGCGCTCAACAGCTCTACTGGCTCCTTCAACGAGGATGACTTGATAGAAGCGACACGCGTCGAGCGCGGCACGCCTGGTCTCAGTAACCAAATGTTCTACCAGTGAATTGGTCGAAAGGAAAGCCGTTTACTTCTTAATCTTCATTAGCTTTTTTCTATTTATTCGACACATGTATAAACTTTTTTTTTTAACTTGTTGAATTTGGGTTGTTTTTAATTGTGTTTATATGAAATTTTATTGTGTTGCGGCATTAAGAAACTTGAGTTTTTCTTCCGCTTCATAGTGGCTTTAATAAATTAATAGGCTCGTTTCGCCAAAAAATGATTTTATCTGACATTTTTGAGGCTGAGACTTTTTTTAACACTAGGTGCTTCAGTGATATTCCTGTGACAGGTTAATATATAAGTTTCTTAACCAACTACTAGGTTTTGCCTCGCCTTGAATGACCTTAACCTCTTCTGGTCATGTATTTATATTTTCCAATTCCCGGAGTATTTGGACAGAGGTATTTTTAAGATTCCTTAGCGGCTGTGATACATATTTATTTTACATTTAACTCTTTTAGATATATATTGATCAATGACAAATATAGCCAAATAACATAGTTTATCTGCACAGATCAGGACTCGTTGTCTTCCAGCAAAATTCAGCTTGATGAATGTTTTATCTTGTGTATTTAAATAGTCACACGCGCGAGTGAGCAGCGTCACTTCTGTTTCGGTTTTTATCGTGCTCCATATATAATTAAATATATAAGCTTTTGAGGTGGTTGGGATTTCTTTTTATTTCAAGTGAAATGGTTCGTGTTTAAGGGACTATGCTCTGCTGTCACTGCTTCAGTTTTTTTTTTCTGTCAGTGTGGGAATTTTTTATTGAGAATTTACCGTGACCTGATTGATCTGTTTTGGTTTATTACAAATTAGATTCAAATAAATGGTAATATATTTATTAATTTTATGATCCTTAAAAACGTTTTTGGGCTAAATATTATGTCCACTTGCGAGTTTCCTCCGTCACAAAAATTCATTTTGAAACAGAATAATTTAGTTTTACTGGAAGTTTTTATTTATGCGAAAATTTCACATTTTTGAATCTACTTATGCTAAGAACTTTGCTTATGATTGGTTTGCGATTGGAGTAACCACTGTGTGAGGTGGCCCAGTGGTTATAGTTCATCAAACCAGGGTTGGAACAGTGCGTTGCAGGTTCGGTTTTCCAGCAATATGTAAGAATTCTGTGATGTCTATAATCGGTGCCATGCAAGATTTAGCCTATTCAGCATTTTTTCTAGTCACAGATACATGGCAATAACAAAAAAATAAAAATGTGGGTGAATCGAGCATTTTATTGAAGGAATGAATGCTATAAACGGAAAAGTTATAGACAAGTAACAAAGAATGAAATAAAAAAAAATTATATTAGACAATCCTTTACTTAATGTTGTGGAATACAAAGATCGAGGAATTGATTGAACATGTTGCAGACTAAGAATGTGTTACTGAATTTGTGAAAGAATAGTGGCGGTTATGCCTGGTGGAAATTTCATAGAATTCCGAAATATGTGCGATTAACATCACAATTGAGAAAGTGCACTGAGTGGCATTGATATTCACAATAGGAGCTTGAATTTATTTAAAACCGTATGAAATGAGGTGTAGAGATCCGAGTGCGAAAGATTAATTTTCATTGAAATAGCCGTGGAGGGGTCGCCTGCCGAAGACCACCACTGCCCTGGTAGTAATGGACCATCATGATTCCTGCCTTCCGGAACGCAGCCTTCAACACTTCAAGCCGTCCGTATCTAGGCCGTGGGTCGAACCAGCCCTCGGTCGAACGGCCACTTGTCGAAGGACGATAAATTTTGGAACAGAACTATGCTATCTGAAACCTAACCTCGGATGCGGTGAACGTAAAATTACGTAATTTAACGATGCCCGGAAGTCAGATTCGATCCGCGGCCTGGTGGTGCAAGGCACGGCAGGTGGTGGTCAAGGCCGAGTGGTGCACGACTGATTGGTGTAGGTCCGGAGAGATCTAAGGCGTTCGATCCAGGGCTTATTGGTGCACCAAATTGGTGGTGCACGGCTGCGCTCCCGCCGTGGAGCTAATTCGCTCGAGCTAGACATGCATTGCACTTATTTGCGCAGCTACAAGACAGCTTTAGAGCTACGAAATCGCAGACCACGATAGAAACACAGGTAGGTAATGGCTTCAAGTCATAGCGCCGTGAGTCCGCAACCGCACATACGCGAACTCCTAACCTTGCTGCAGTCAATTAGGTTATGTTGGGTCCGGAAAATATTGCGTAGGTCAGAGTCGGGGTAAGATTTGAGGTAGGGCCATGCTGGGGTGTAATCTCCAAGAAGACTGTGCTGACCGAATCGGTGGCTGCAGACTTACGGCGCCATGAGTTCCAGCATACACCGTCAAAGGCTACTCTGTTCTCCAGTCTGTTTGCGCATGGGAAGGAATAAAATGATGATATTGGACAATGCTATCCACGAACATGCATCCCAGCCCAATTACCGGTTGAATGTGAATTATTAGAATAATTGCAAAATGGGAGGTCACTATTTCATGAAGGTCTATACTGCAGAATATTCTGTCCGATTATGAATCAAGGGATTTAAAGTTACATTGTGGGTGGAAGAATGTTGCACAAAGTACTTTTAAACTATCGCTGGAGAGCAGAGAACACGATTTATGATTGAAATGAACTGTGGACGAAACGTTATAACCACCAAAGAACTATTGACTAAAATTGAGTAGCTCTTGGGTGGTTTGTACACGTTTCACATGAACGCAAGCATCTTTTCCCTCTGCGTCTTAATTAAAACTGCTTTCTTAGCTGTTGGTTAGTTAACATAGGCGCAGTTGTAGCCAGGTACGAAATATTTAGTGCGACGTCATTATTATGATGCATTTCATACTCAGATTTTCAGAAAAATATCGAGATTTTATTGAGCTGGGTTAAGAATAAGATGACATAGAAATTTCTTTATTTAGGAAACCCTTGGAGCTTGGTAATTTTTTTATTACTAGGCTGGGTCATCCTGCTTTGGAATTTGATCCGCTTTTTTCAGGGAGTATTTACTGCGCATATTCCGTGTCGTAGTGTAATTAAATTAATCATACCTTCGTAAGCTCATAATAAATATGTATGAAATATTAACCGACATCAATTATTTTCTACTTGGTTTTAAATCTGTTGAAAACTGGAAAAGAAAGAAAACTGGAAATACATTGCTAGTAATAGTATGGCATTTTCCATGATAAAGTCAGAATAGACTATACTGTCTATACTCTATAGCACATAATATAGTCTATTACTCTATTAGGCTGCATTCTGAATTTATGTAACAGGTATAATAAACAAGCAGGCTAATAACGTTCGATATCATGAGCTGGTTACTGGCCCGTATGCTAAATAGGGCACTAGCACTACGAAGTAGCACTACGCACTACAAGCCGTAGTGCGACATGGAACACTACGGTTGGCATGCTAAATAGGGCACTAGCACTACGAAGTAGCACTACGCACTACAAGCCGTAGTGCCGTACTAGTGCGACATGGAACACTACGGTTGGCATGCTAAATAGGGCACTAACACTATGAAGTAGCACTACGCACCACAAGCCATAGTGCGGCATGGAACACTACGGTTGGTATGCTAAATAGGGCCAAAATCATAACGCGCACTACAAAAATCTGAAGTGTCCTAAACACCGCACTTCACGACGACACTACGGTATATTTCACCTTGTTTACTTCGTCAGCTATGGATCTGTTTGGCTTACAGCAAAAGCATCATCGCGTAAAAACCTCAGGAACCACATGCCGTGAATATAAAAAAGTGTACCGCTTCAGTGAATAAAATGTTCTTCTTATGGTTGACATTTTCCTTGGCGCAACAGGTGAACAGCGTAGAAGTAGAAAATACTTTTATTGTTTTTGATACCATGTTTTGAACTTTCTTTCTTTTTTTTCTGGGGTCATTTTGAATTCTTCTGCAAGAACTTTCCATGCTTCTCTCTTTTGTTCGAAGTCTTTGGGAAGAGTGGCCTTTGAATATATGATGGGAAAGGTGCGCAGACGCATTGAGAATTTCAGCTCACCATCACAATTTTCACTAGTACCATTTCCATCACAATTAGACATTTTTCATCAATCTTCTGCAAAAAACGAGAATTACTTAGGGAATAATTAATTATTTGAGCACTTAACTACCATTCTTCAATAGACTTATAGCGTAGTGCGGCACTATAAAGTACTCTAACAGCGAAGTAGCACTTCAAAGTCTTTCTGCATACGAATAAGTAGTGCGACACTAAGCGACACTAAACATTGTAGAGCTACTTCGAAGTGCTTAGTGTCTGTGACGTATTTAGCATACCAACAGGACACTTCGTAGTGCATGGTGCTACTTCGTAGTGCTAGTGCCCTATTTAGCATACGGGCCAATGACGGCAGGATTAATGCGCGTCTGATAGGTGGCCTTACGGAAACATCCGTAGGCGTTTTATTCAGGGCTGATTGGTGCATAAAATTGGTGGTGCACGGCTGCTCTCTCTAATACATAATACATTACTCTTCAAAATGACTTTTTTCACCAGCAACGCAGCTTAAATTATGATGCAAGCGATTTTTTATCGTCTTTTTTTACTATTTTTTGGAGAAATGAGAATTATAGTTACTTAGTAATTGTAGTTCTAGAGGCCGTAAGTTCACTAGGTTAGTTATTCTTTGGACAACGGTCCATTTATTTAATATTTTTAGGTGGCTTTGGAGCGTCTTAATAACTTTACGCCCCTCGCCGGAGATTGGAAGAATTACTAAATAACTAGCTAATTCTCATAACTTGTCACGACAGGACACCAGAATAAACAACCGTAAATAATGCTACGCTCAACAACGACAACTGTCTTTTCCGTATCCATCATTGTATCAATATTTGAGAGGAGAAAATATATTCAAATTTGAATATGAAATTTATTAATCATTCGCATGAATTAGTTAAATCGTAGATTGTAATTTGAATTTGTCAGTAATTACCTTCATTGCATCGAATAAATATTTCAGCTACAGAAAGGAATTAGTAGCTTAGCAATAATTGAATTTCGTTGTTGATGGGTTTGGGTGGGAAGAAATTTCAATTTTCGGGAAAAGAAATTGCGAAGCATCGCAATCGCATACAGATTT